TGTCTGAAAAGCCACTTGGACTGAGGCCTATGGTCACCACTGGGCAGGGAGGCTGCAGTGACAGACAGTAGACTTACCAAGGGACTCGGGTTTTGAGAGAAACCCTGTGTTCAGAAATGTGAGCTCGCGTCTGAGGAACAGGGGAGCCTAAGTGGGCCAGGAAGCAGACAGGAGCAGCATCTGAACCCTCTGAAGGAGAGTCGCCATGCCAGGCTCTGAGTGGTTGCAACCAGAGAACACTGACAGCAAACCAAAGATGGATCTGGGGCTCCAGCAGAAAGGACTGTGGAGAGAGAGAAGAGTTCCTATTTGAACAGAGGTGACCATGGAAGGGAACCTGTGCCAAGCTGAAGCGAGTAATGGCACTAGAAATGTCTTTCCTGTGTCTGCAGTGTGCTCCTGGGGTGTGCCTGCAAGTCCACACGGACCCTGGTGCATGCTGACCCTCTGCACAGTTCGCCTCCTCCACAGGGAACATGGAGGGAGAGAAGAAGCAAATGCAATGTGTGTGCAATATGTTTGAGAGGAGGGTATGGGGAAGCAGGAAGAGGAGTTATAATGATCTTTTCAGTGTCCCCAAACCCCACCAGGTAGGACGGGGCGCACGGGAAGCTGGCCTTCCCAGCAGGGGCCTCTCTTGTCCTGGTGCTGCTGGTTCCCAAATACCCGACACACCAGATATAGGGTCAGCCTGGGACTGGGGGTGCCTGTTGGAAGCTTCATATACTATTTGACCACTCAGGGCTCCCTCCTTGTGTGACATTCGGATCTGCAGCTGCTGGAATGAAACCCTTCTTTCTTGCTTTTGTATTGCTTTGGAGCCGGCTGCCCGAGCAGAGTCACAATGTCACCTCATAGGCCACTCAGGGCTACGACCCCCTGTGCTCCTGTCCCAGCCAGAATCCTGTGATTGAAAGGACAGCCCCCTGTGCCTCCTGTCAGGTGACTGGAGGCTCTGTCCCTGGCCACGGTCCCAGTGGGCACGGAGACCTACAAAGCCTACAAATGCCCTTCAGTTACTCCCTCTTCCTCTGTTCTTGCTCAGCCCCTTTTGTTCACTTCCCTTTCAGTTCCCAGCCCCTCTTGCTCTTCAGACAAGACTGATAAGCCCAACCTCAGGAAGCATCAGAAGCAGCCAGGGGCTGTCTCCTGCTGGGGTTACAATGCATTTCACTAAGCAGACATCACCTTTGGCAATAACCCATTGGTTGCCATGACAACGTGGACAGCTTGTGTCTTGGGGATATGTTGTGCCCTCATTCTGGCTGCCCAAGGTCCCTTGCCCCAGCTTTCTTTCCCACATCCTTTCAATAGGCTTACAGCATCCTGGCGCCAACTCACAAGGACCATTCTTTAGTTCGGAGCAGCTTTGTCTTGATCAGCAAAAAACTGCTTGGCTTAGCAATCAAAGAATAGATCGAGCCATTTCTGTCCTCAAAATGCTCTAGCCTCCATCTCTCTCAAAGCTAAGATCCTTACCAGGGCCTACAAGGTCCTACGTGATCTGGCCTCAGCTCCCACGTCTCTCCCCTACCAACTTTGCCAGACACGTTGGCCTTCTCGCAGTTTCTCAGAGCACCAAGCAGATGAACCTCAGGCCCTTTGCATCCGCTGCTATACTCTCTGTCCTGATTTCTGCATGCTTGTTCCCTCTCTTCATTCAGGTCTTTGCCCCCTCCTCAGAGACACCTCCCCTACCATTCTACCTAACATCGCAGCCTCCACCCTTTATCCAGCTGTCTCTCCTCCTGGTGCCCTTCGGCCCCTGGCATTATGTCAACCCAATTTTTTGTTGGTTCAATGTCCACCTTCCCCAACAGACTGCCCCTGGAATGGGGGCAGCCCATTTGTTACATGAGTGAGTGAATGACCAGCCATGGATTCGAAGCTGGGTTTTCTATTTGGCAGCTTTATGGCATGGTGCAAGCCCCCTGGTCACCCAAGCCTTGGTCTCCTTGTCTGAAAAACAGAGGTGATAATATCCGCTAGCTAGAATGACAGGAATAAATGAGGCGGCACAGAGGATAGAACGAAGAGCATGCCCCACAAACGGGGGCTGACATCATCTCTTATTCCTGGGTCAGCTGCATTCAAAGTAATGCTCTCCCTGCCCTAGGCTCCTGGACACCCTCACACCTCCAAGGCACCTGCCACTGTGATCTGCCAGGGGAGCCTGCAAGATGCCCGAGGAAAAGACAGCCAGCAATGGGGCATGGCGAGAGCCCTGTCCTGCAGATGGGCTCCACACTCATGCTGGGGCAGCCACAGCCTTTAGGTCATCTCAGCCTCCATGCATGAGGCCCTTAGAGATAGCCTCCACCAGGCTGGGTGAGACGCCCCTATGCGGATCCAGCGGCCCTGCCTTCACCCGCTTCCCGCAACCTCTCATACAGAGTGTGGCTGTGGGCTGCCCAGCCAGCCACTACGTAGGGTCTTCATTGAATTTCTCAGGGGTTCCCTGGGCGTGGAGCCAAAAAGTGTTAAAAGGAGGAAGGAGATTCACAGCTTTTCTTTTCCCACAAGCTGGTAGATAGATTTGCTCATTTCTGAAACTGTTAAGAGACAGCGAAACATTCTGTCCATTTCAAGTCCTGCCATTGTCAGTTTGATGTGAAGATCCTATCTTCCGTTTATTGCATCTGACCTTTTTCAGAGAGGGCAAGGGCTGTGCACGCGAATAGCATTGAGTGTCCCCTGCACGTGGAGCCTGAAGGAAGCACAGGGGAGATACTACGAGCAGCAGGACCAGTCCCTGCCCTCCAGGGGCTTCTGGTGCCTGTGCCTGGGGGAGTGTGGGCAACGTGGACAGGCAGCCAACTCATCAGGTCCAAAAACCACACTAGCCCAGGTGACATGTCATCCTCAGTTGGAGAGTCGAATGGTATCTGCATGTCCTGTGTCTAGATGGAGTAAGACACTTGTCCAGTCCGTTTTCCAAGAGACAGTTGTCACTTGGCACATGGAGAGAGAGTATTAGCGCCTGGAAGATAAAGGACAGACTTCTGATCTGCTTTGCATATTTATCAATGAGTTAGATAACGGCACAAAAGGCAGCTAAGAGGGACCAAATAAAGGTACGGCAGAATAAGGACCCCTCAGAAGGCTTGACCCCCAATAGGTGGGAGTGCGGCGGTTAGGATCCAAAGGACAACCACGCTGAAATGGGGGTGTTTGGACAACCACTCATAAAAATATGAAAGCGTTTAAACTAACCACCAGCTTAATAGAGGCCAGTGACAAACTCACAGGCCATGACAAGTATAAAGCTTTGAAAAACAAAAACAGCATTGGGGTGATGGTGCCTGGTCTACACCCTGAGCTCTTTGAAACCAGAAAAATTTGTGTTCAAATCCCAGCCGTGCTCATTAGCTGTGTGACTCTGGGTTATTCACAGCCCTCTCAGAGCCTCAGAATCTAACTGAAATGAGATGGTAAGACCCTCCCTGCTGGGTTATTTTGAGAATTAGCAATAACGTGAGTGGGCACCTCGCCCAGTGCCTGGTAGAATTAGGCAGAACCTAGCAGACCACAGGCATTCAATAAATGGTCATTGTTCACAATTTACTGGCTAGAAAAATAGAGAATGCACATTTTTAAGAGGTTGGAGGGCCGTTCTCTACCCTGTCCCTTTCAGACCTATCCGGAATATTATGTCCCAATTTAGACCCTAATCCTTAAGATCAGTTAGAAAGCAACCATGTCACTGAGCCCTTGATGAAGGAGTTGGGCAGAATCAGCCTGAGAATAAAGCTCCAGATACATGGTTAGTACATTATTTTGTTGTCGTCACTGTGGAAATCTCTGAAGAACAGTCAAAGGAAGGAAGACATGATATGCTGCCCTGAAGACCCAAAGTAGAGGTGGAAAAAAGTGAGTGGGATGGGTCTCAGCTCAAAGGAAGAGGAAACAGACCTACCCACCACGAAATGGGCTACCATGCCAAGGAGTGAGCTCCCCACCCCTGGAAGTATTTAGGCAGAAAGTAGATGACCATCTGTCAGAAATGTTAATAGAAGGAATTTCTGGATCCAAGGCCTTTGCAACCAAACACAGCTGGATTTGGATCCGGGTTCCTGAAGTTAGCCGGGTGGTCCTAGGCAAGTTAAGCTCTTTGACCCTCAGTTAACCTCTGCAAAATGAGAACAATAATGCTTCAAATGAGTACTAGAAGGATGAAGTCCGATCATGTCCAGAAAGCACCTGGCCCAAAGTAGATTCTCCCCTACTTGGAGTAAAAAAGCAGAGCTGTGTGACTTCCAAGATACCCTCTGTGGGGCTAGGAAATGCAGAGCAACCACAGGGACTCCTAGGAGGATAAATAGACCCCACCCAGCAGGCTAGGAGGGGCCAGGCCCCCAACAGGCAACCAGCCAGAGCAGGCAACTATGTAACCAGTAGCAGGGGTCGGCCTGCCTGGGAGCACAGCCCTCACCAGGACCGTGGCACAGTCCTGTCGCCCTGTCTCATGGGCAGGGTGCCTGAGCGTGTGCTCAGCTCTGGCTGCATATTAGCATTGCTTGGGTTCATCGCGCTTGGCAACCTCTGCTTTGGAGGGAAGTCAAAAACTGGAGACATGATTGGAGGCCAGAGACCCTCAGCACCTCAACTGGTGCAAAGACAGATGTGATGGATGTGAGACGGGTTAGTGATGTCTTCCCATCTGTGAGGGGCTCGGGAGCAGAGGATGGGAAAATGCTATTTTGCATCTTCCCTGGGGATTCAAGAGGAAATAAGTGAACTCAACAGTAAAACGATTAGTAGCAACGTAAGGACGAATTCTCTTCCAGTGACAGATGGACTGTGGCAGGGACAGTCGAAATAATCATGGAAGCCTCTCCTTGGAGGCTTTCCCCCAAGCAGAGGTTGCCATCCAGAGGAGGGGGCTGAAGCAGACTCCCACCCGGAGGGCCCAAAAGGTCCTCACAGGTCCCCCGCCCTAAATCTCACACCTCTCCGCTCACCGTTCTTCCTTGTTGGAGTAACCCGTCTCCCTTCCACAGGCATTGCAGAAAACACAGCCGTGCCTTCAATACCAGACTTGATGGAAGAGAAGCTTCGATCCCAGCTGGAGGAAGAAAAGAGAAGGTACCCTTTTTTTTTAACCTCACACACCCTGACCCCATCCACTGAGGGCCCTCGGGGATGACAGGGAGCTGCCCAAGCCAGGAGGAGTGGCCACTCCCCAGCTCAGGGCTGGAGCTGCTCTGGGAAGTGGGTCCAGTGGTTGGGTCCTCAAATAGCTGGAGGGCGTGCTGCCTTTGAGCAGACAGATGTGGAATGCAGGGACCATAAGCAGCGTGGGGTTGGAATCTGGAGCAGAAGGCCTCGCCAGGCCCTGGAGCTCATAGAGAGGTTTGCTTGTTGGCACCCTCCCCAGCCCAAGGTCCCCGGCTGTGGCTCAGGAGCAACTAGGCTTATCTATTGCTGCCATCTAGGGGAGTCCAGGAGTATGACCACGGAGGTCTCCTGCCTGCAGATCTGCCCCCACTTCCCTCCTGAGTCTCCTCACCTGCAGGGCGTCTGAGAACCTCACAGCCTCTTGCAGCCAGTCAGGGCCCCCAGATGACGTCACGAACAGAGCGAGGAACCTCCAGCATCAGCAGACACGTGGCTGTAACTGATACTCAGCATGGTCGCAGAATCTCACTTAACACAGCAGTCCAGCTTCGTCCTTCATTGGCTGGTTGATGCATTCCACCAATGTTTGCTATGCCCTGCAGGCCACGGAGAGGCTCTGGGGAGAGCCAACAAGTCACCTTCCTGGCCCTCGGGGAGCTGATGGTGTCAATGCTACATGTGCCACCCCTGGGCTAGCAAGGCATGCCCCACCCTCGCCGCTCACACACCCCTGCCGCCCAGAAACTGGAGCAGAACAAGGCCCCACGCAGCGGGTCCCCAGATTCCTCCCCATAACTGCACTGGGGCTTGTCCCGCCCGCATTCTCCTCCCAGAAAGCCTTGCGCTGCCCTCGCCGCCGTGCCGCTGTTGCTCTGCACCCCCTGGGGTTGCCCTGGAGTTAGCCTCTTCCTCTCTCACTCTGTTTATTTTTCCCAATTTCTTTCCAACCCATTTTTTTGTGTCTTTACTCCACCCTGTGTCGTCCCTTTGGTCCACATTCCCAACCCCAGCGTCCCTTCAGGAGCCACGCTGTGTCCGCAGTTCAGCTGCCTCACTGGTTCCTATTGGACAACTTCTGCCTCGTGGCCACATGCCCCAAACCCGTGTGCGCAGTAACAGATGTAGTGCACCTTCTGTCCTCAGTACGAAGTGAACCCATGGAATAGAGAGGTGGCTGTGATTTCTAGAGACGGGTGGCCGGGGCTCACATACTGACCCCTCTGTTTATTAGCCCACAGAGCAAGTTATATAACCCTTCCATGCCTCAGCTTCCACATCTGTAAAGTGGAGCGTCTCCTTATAGGACTGTGTGCAGGACTGAATCTGTTGGTATGCCGAGCGCCTAGAGCAATGCCTGCCCCATATAAATGCTCAGTAACAGTAGCCATCCTTCTGGAAGAAGGGGGTATTCATCTCATACACAGAGCCCATGGGCCTGCTGGGCAAAAACACGTGGTTCTGCTTCTCTGTAAGGGGCTCAAGCCCAGACCCCGGCCTCCGGCCTCTGTGGGCTCCCCTGGGGTCCCAGTCCCTGGTTCCAGTGAGGCACTGCCAGACTTCTAAGACACGGGCCCCACAGTGACACTCCACTCCCAGCCTTTCCCCCTGCCAGTGACTTTCACAACTCTTCCCTGATTTCACTGTAGGTATAAAATAATGTTCACCCGCCTGAAGGCCCTGAAGGTGGAGATCGAGCACTTGCAGCTGCTCATGGACAAGGCCAAGGTGAAGCTGCAGAAAGAGTTTGAAGCCTGGTGGACAGAGGAAGCCACCAGCCTGCAGGTATTAGCAGCTGGCCCCTTCACTGCCCCAGAGCCCGCCCTCCTCCTGGGGCCTGGAGAGAGGCTGTCAGAGGCAGAAGAGTGGGGGCTTCGATCCACAGGCCCACATGCTCTCAGCCTTATCTCATGAGGCAAGTGCTCATCCTAATAACGAGGATGCCAATGGCCGGGGGCTCGCTGTCTCTGTGCTCTGAGGCTTGACACATAGAAAGGTGGGGGATGGAAGGTGTGCCCAGACCAGTGGGTTTGCCACTGTTGCTTTGTGTAATGTTCTCCTGTGATACCATATTGACAATATTGACTGTTTTTTTACTACAGTCATATATGTGTGTGTGTATACATAATGTATGTATATGTAAATATATACTTCTATAATTTATATATAAGTTACAGAAATTTTGGAAAATAGAGAAAAACACAAAGAAGTAAAAATCACCATAATCCCACCTTTAAGGATAACCAATATTATCATGTTGGATTATATTATTTTATCTGTTTTTCCAATGCATATATTTCTATATGTTTTTATAAAAACAGAGTCATATTGGTCTTCAAGTATCACAACTGGCTTTTGCTTGTGGCACTCACTGCATCGCATGGCTTCTCTTCCATGATACTTTTCTACATCATTCTAATGGCCGTCACTGTTCCATCCTATGAATTTATTTTTGTCTGCTTAATCTTCTATTGTTTAATGTTTGTTTCTAGTTTTTCACTGGAAACATATTTGTAGAAAAATGTTTGCACATTTGCTAGACAGGTTCCTAGAAGTTCTCTACAATACTATGAAGGCTAAAATGGCATATTAAGAAGTGTAATACAAACCCCCAGTTCCAATAGTCCTCCTGCAACTCATCAGCTGTGGTATAATGGAAGTGACGAGATACATATTATCACATCACTGGTGTGGCTGGTGGAACCCTCAGAGATTAACAGCTGATCCCTTTATTTTAAGGACAAGGAAGCTGAGAGCCCAAGAAGTTATTTGGCCAATGACACACAGCCAAGCAGTGACCATATGTTACCAAGTAGCCATGTTATCAGACACTAGAGAAGAATAGTTGGATAAAATTTAATACACGAGATGACAAAGAAAACTAATAAGATGGAAATAAAGTTATCAAAATATTAAAGCAAAGTTATGGTATGATAAGATGTAAATCACCTTACAAATGTATTAATAAGATCTAGGGGGTGGGCCCAACATTCAACATAATTTTGAAGTAATGGTGAACACAATATTTCAAGATTTCTGCAACAGTGTAACATGATATGAAAATATCTGTGATTTCCAACTGATGACAAGTCACTGATACTACATATACTACTGTGGTTTGTTGTCCACATTGTACTGTTGAAAGAAATGCTAAATTTCAGGGAGAAGTTAGGAAAATTAAAAATGTCATTGGTCCCCATCCACGGTCCCAGCACCCCCGCATTCTGTCTGTTCTCCCATTAAGAACCCTTCGGGGAGAGGCCATCAGCCACTGCTGGTGCCCAAGAGACTTTAGCCACTGAACAGTAGATGATGAGGGTCATCCTGTGTGACGCAGGAAGAGTCAAGGCAAGGCGGATGGATTCAGGCGGTGTATTGCTCATAGAGACAGTGAAAACTGGTGTAGCCAAAGATGTCAGCTCTGCCCCACAGGAAGTCACTGAAACAAAACGGGCCCGGTGGCTGCGGGAAGGATGATGGGGCACCTTGTTGCTGAGGAGTGAAGTCTATGCTGCCGCTAGGCAGTTTCGTAGACTGCAAATGTACCCTGAGCGGAGTGAGGCAGAAAGTCTTAAATCTCATCAGAACATGGGAGGTGATGAGAAACTGTCCCATGACTGCCTCCCGGGGAGATAGGAGGCAAGTGGGGAACAGTCTTGGAGCAGCTACTCATGTTCTGGGAGAATCACAGGGCATTCTGCCAAAGCTCAGAGAAGCTGCCGCTGAGGCCTTGCTCACAAGCCCTGTGTGGAGCCATGTAAGGTTGCTGGGGCACCGTGGTGGAGCTGTTCCTCGATGTGACATGCTCAATGGATTTCTCCTGCCTCTGGTAGCCTCTCTTTGGGGGACAAAGGGAGGCAAAAGCGAGAGGACTTCTGGAGAATTGTCAGATTGCATTTTAAACCCTTTTTCCTATCTACAAGTAAGCAACACATGCTCAATTTGGAAGACTTAGCACAGAAAAGGACAAAGAATACACCAACCATTATCCATAATCCTGCCATCCAGAGATAATATTTTGGTGCCTATCATTATAGTCTAGATTAATTTCTTCCCCCACACATGTTGTACCTAACAACTTTTAGAGCTAACATTTTTGCCTTAAAAAAATATATCAAGGACATTTTCCCATGCCAGTAGCTTCAAGGTAATACCGTGAAACTCCTTCTTGGTCCAACAGGTAAACTCGCCAGCAGTGAACTCACTCACTCACATGAAGCCCTTTCCCCAGACGCCTGAGTCCCAGCAGGAGAGGCCTCAGCTTCTCTCTAACAAAAGGTAAGGGGAAAACTCTTCCAACAGAGGGAGGGTGCAGGAAAGTTGCCCTACCTCTCCTCCACCTGGTCTTGCTGCTCTAAATGTATCTGTATAGGCCGCCTGATCTGGGAAGATGAATCACGTGTACTGTTATGTTGGCTGTAGATACTCAAGCCAGTGGCTTTCGGGCGGGTTTGAGCAAGGGTTGTTGAGCACACCTTCTCGGTCCTTCTCCCCGGCACTGACAGCCAGTGGACCTACTGCCATGGCAACAAGAGACAAGTGGTTTAACTGTACAAAGCCGCGGTAGGAAGAAGGGGTTGGCAGTAGGTGGAAGGGAGAGTAGCATGGGGGAGACAAGGGGAATGGGAAAGAAGGGGGATGTTGGTGGTAGGTCAGAGGGTAGCAGACCTGCCAGGATACGGAGGAGCTCTGGGAAAAGACTCTGTCCTAGCACAGATTCAGGACCGATGTGGGCAGCCTTCTATGAGGATGGCCTCCACCTGAAGACAGCCCAGAGCCAGTTTCCTTGAATGCTGGCATGATCCAGAGGGACTCCACTTCCCCTCGCCCCACACCACCTTCTGAAGACAGGTTCCTTCTCATGCCATCCATGTTAATATCTTCCCAACCACACAACTCAGGTGGTAAGGCCTAGGATGCATGCCTTGGCCACCCTCCATCCCCCAGACAGATCCCCTACTTTCAGGACGGAAGCCAGGGTGGCGCAAGTGGGGCGTTGGCTTCTGCCACCAAGGAGCAATCCTTGGACTGGGTTTGATAGGAACTGAGCTCTCAAATTGGGAAATGTGAAATCGAAGTTTTAAAAACAGGTAGTGGAGCGCCTGGGTGGCTCAGTCTTTAAGCATCTGTCTTTGGCTCAGGTCATAATCCCAGGATCCTGGGATCAAGCCCCACATCGGGCTCCCTGCTCAGTGGGGAGCCTGCTTCTCCCTCTCCCTCTGCTTCGCTCCCCTGTGCGTTCTCTCTCTCTCGTTTTCACTATCTCTCTTAAAAACAAACAAACAAACAAATAAATAAATAAATAAATAAATAAAGGTAGTAGTGGGAGGTGGAGGTTGTGCCGGATAGTACCTTTAACATGATGAGAATGTCACATGACCTCTATGGTCTTCTTTTTTTTCTTTTAAGATTTTATTTATTTATTTGAGAGAAAGAATGAGCGGAGAGAGGGACAGAGGGAGAGGGAGAAGCAGACTCTCCGAGCAGGGAGCCCGACATGGGGCTCAATCCCAGGACCCTGGGATCATAACCTGAGCCAAAAGGCAGACGCTTAACGACTGAGCCACCCAGGTGCCCAACCTCTATGGTCTTCTTCTCAAAATCCTATAACCCCAGTCCAATCATGAGGAAAAAACCTGGAGACATTCTATAAAATACCTGGCCAATCCTCCTCAAAACTGTCAAGGCCATCAAAAACAAGGAAGATATAAGAAACTTTCACGGACAGGAGGTGCCTACGGAGACAGGACAACAAAAGGTAATGTGCGAGCCTCAAAGGGATCCTAGGTCAGAGCAACACATTAGGGAAAAACTAAGAAACTCCAACTAAAGCATGGACTTGAATTAATAATCATGTATCAGCATTGTTTCATTAGTTGGGACAAATGTACCATACCAACATAAGAAAGTATAATAAGGGAAACTGGGTATGAGGGACATGGTAACCCTTTGTACTATCTTGGCAACTTTTCTGTAAACCTAAAACTCTTCTTTTGTTGTTGTGTTTAAGTATGGTTGACACATACTGTTACATTAGTTCAGGTTTACAACGTAGTAATTCCACAAGTCTATACGTTATGCTATCATCTGAAACTACTCTTTAAAAAAAAAAAAAAAAAGGCCAGCCAGTGAGCCCTCCACCACCTGATCGACATTTTCCCTGGACTTCCGCATAACCCCCCACACTGGCCCTAGGTGCCAGTACTTCCGCTTATGTTCCAGTTTTAAGAAACACCTCCTATCTGAGCCCCTAAGTCCAGGGTCAACAATTGGCAAAGTGTGTTCTGTTTGGTAAGCCTGGTGTTTTAAAAGGCAGTGTAGATCCAGAAATGAAAAAAATTGATAAATTGGACTTTATTAAAATTTAAAACACTGCTCTGCAAAAGACACTGATAAGAAAAGGAAAAGATGAACCACAGACTGGAGAAAATATTTTCAAAACATGTATCTGATAAAGGACTTGGATCCAAAATACACAAAAACTTAAAATTCGACAAATAAGGAAAACAATTTAAAAATGGGCTAAGGATCTGAACAGCCACCTCACCCAAGAAGTTTTACAGATGTATGTGTATGACAAAATGCTCAAAGTCATATGTCATTAGGGAATTGCAAATTAAAGCAACAATGAAATACCACTACACACCTATTGGAATGGCTAAAATCCAAAAACAATGACATCCGCAAATGTTGGTGAGGATGTGGAGGTATAGGAACTCTCCGTCTTTGCTGGTGGGAATGCAAAATGGCATGGTCCCTTGGGAAAACAGTTCGGTGGCTTCTTACTAAACTAAACATATTCTTACCATATGATTCAGCACTCATGCTCCTTAGTATTTACTCAAATGAGTTGAAAACTTAGGTCCATACAAGAACCTATGCCTAGGTGTTTACAGCAGCTTTGTTCATAATTGCCCTAAACTAGAAGCAACCAAGATGCCCTTCAAACGATGAATGGACAAATGAACTGTGGTACATCCAGACAATGGACTATTACACAGCGCTAAAAAGAAATGAGCTATTGAGCCATGAAAAGACATGGAGGAAGCTTAAATTCATATTACTGAGTGTAAGAAGCCAATCTGAAAAGGCTACATACTGTGTGATTCCGACCTGACATTCTGGAAAGGGCAAAACTATGGAGGCAGTAGAAAGACTAGTGATTGCCAGGGTGAGAGGGGAGGGGTGGAAAGGATGAATGGGGGGACACCGGGGACTTTTAGGGCAGTGAAACTATTCTGTATGCTATGTAGTGGTGGGCATATGATATTATGCATTTGTTAAAATCCACAGAACTGTACAACAGAAAGAGTGAACCCCCAGGTAAACTATGGACTTTAGTTAATAATAATGTATCTATATTGGTTCATCAGTTGTAACAAATGTACAGCGCTAATGCAAGATGTTAATAATAGGGGAATCCACAAGGCGGGAGAGGGGAGATAAGGGAACTCTTCTGTACCATCTGCTCAGTTCTCTGTAAATCTAAAACTTCTCAAAACAATTGGTTCATCAATTTAAATTCTTTAAAATGGTAGTGTAAGTAGACTTGCTCTACAGTAATACAGGTACCTTAGCCTTAGTGTCCCACACTGGTCCTCTCTGTGCGTTCCCTCAGGTACCTGCCGACCTCTGGGACACTTGAGTTTGCAACCCCTGTATAGCGGCCTCCTTCCCCTGAAACTCCTGGACTGCACAGAACATGTTTGAAAAACACTGGCCCAGCCAAAAGGACAGGGCTTTCCCTGGTCATCGCTCTGGCTCGGTCCCAAGCCCCTCATGTGTCCCACACATTAATAAGGTCTCCTCCCAATGATGAGGCTCAGGACCCCTGTTAATTCCCCAGCCTCTTTTCTAGATCTCTTGCATAGTTCCTTACTGGTAGAAATATCCTGCCCAGCAAATAGGAAGCTCCATCTCTAAGTTTTCTTTTGTTTCAAAGACAATGCATTGTGTGCATGTGTGCGTGCATGCATGTGTGTGTGTGTGTGTGTAAAGGCCCAGCACGCACACTCCAGGGCTATAAGGTAGAAATAGACTACACCTGCCAAGTAAAGTTCAGAACCCTGAATTTCAAAGGTGTGTATCAGATCACCCATGGGAGCTTTTCTCAAAATCTTGCTCCCAGAGCACTACCCCAGGCCCCTTCGATGACTGCTGGCAGGAGGGTCTTTGGAGAGATGGCCCAGATAGGCCTTGGAGCACTGTTCATCTCCTGTGGCAGCCAGTGATCTGGTGGCAGAGATAACCCAAGCATCCTGAATGGTATTTGCTAAGACACCTCAACTGTGAGTGTTTGGCACCCCTAAATTCCCTCCATGCAGCAGTTTGGATACCCAAAATTATAGTCAGAAAGTTTCCAGTAGGTGAGAGGAAAAGGTCCCTGCTGGAGATTGGAAAGGGAGAGGCATAGGGGCTCCACCTCTGACAAAGAAATCAGCTGCCACGTGCTTTATAATGCTGGCAGAAAAGAGCTCACAGGACTCTAGCAGGGATGAGGCGGGAAGAACACGCTGCCCCACGTCATCATGGCTTCTCAGACATTCTCTGCCAACACCCAGCAGTGGAGGATGAGTTGTTGGTGTCTTTAAATTCCCCAAGGAGACAGCTTTAGCTTTCTTCTCTTACTTCTTTTCTTTCTTTCTTCTCTTTTCTTCTCCTGGGCCTTGTAGGCCAAGCACTGAGCAAATGTGCAGCATACAATCATTGTCCCTGCTTTACAGATGAGAACACTCGGGCTCTGAGAGGTCAATTAACTTGCTCAGGGTCTCCCAGCTAATCAGTGGTAAGGCAGGCTTGGAACCTGTCAGTGTCCAGCTACTCTGCTCACTCCTCACATCAGTGACTGCCTTGAGGAGCATATGTATATTCTCTTGCTTAGTAGGAGGTGGGCATTTTCCAGCCCATATTCTGTGCTATTTTATACAACTTCGCTTTCTTTATATTCTACCAAATGCCAGGTTCTCCTGCTTGGGGACTCCCCTCTTTCAATGTGTCCACAGCCTGATTTTTCCAAGGGGCCAGGATTCTCAAAAAGCAAATCTGCACTTGCCTACAAAGCCAACATCTGACTGGAAAACCAGAACTCCCTGCTATTTGCCCCCACCACTTCTGCTGAGAAGCCCTGAATTCCATCCCCTCATTTAACTAACTGAGGCCCAGAAAGGAAAAGGGATGTTTTTATCGCTGTAGTTGATAATCCTGAACTTCAGGCTCCAGGCTGAGTGGTGGTGCTTTCTTTCTTCCTACTTCCCTCCCCCCTGCCCTCTCCCTGCCTCCTCTCCTCTCTTAGCTTCACTCCTGCACTCCATTCTTCCCCATCCCTTTCTCCCACTCTCTTGCCCTGCTCATCTTTATCCCCACCCTCTATTCCCTTTCTCCCTCTTTTTTCTTTATTTGTCTCCCTCCCTAGGCATCTTGCTCCTCTCCCATTCTCTCCATCAGCCAAGCCTGCCTCTCCATATTGCTTGTCCATTTGTCCCCTCTGCCACCAGGTTTTACCTGTCAGCTTTTGTGAAAGGGTGCCCACCATGGAAAAGGCTAAGAACCAGCCACGGGGCAGGGCCTCCTAGAATCTTCTTGGGGAACCACTATAAGAATCATGATCCCCTCCCAGCACCCACTGGTGTGAGAAGTAGCACCATGGCATTCCTGAACATTCCTTAGGTGTTTCAATTCAAAGAGACCCTTAACCCAGAAGCTCTGAGCAGTGGATTTCAGAGGTGTGCATCGCATCAGCGTGGGTTACCTGCGAGGAGTCCCCTCAGTTTAGACTTTCACAAAGGATGTCTGAAACAAATCCTCATTTTAGTTCTTTCGGGCAGCAGACTCTTGGGCAAGGCAGCTCCCTCCTTGCGGATTTCCTCATCTCACCTTCGAGATATATCTAGGTCCCTCTGACACTATCATTCCATGAGCAGATAAATGTGCCAGTGCCATGGAAGGAGCTGCAAGGGTGAAAGAGACAGAGTCCACTGGCTTTTTCCCCCGAGCTCCAGAGTGGCTGCTCTGGATGGACTCACTGCAGGCCTGGGGCTAGTCCTCAGCTCCTCAAGTTCTGGAAGAAACCTGATTGCATCACTTCCTCAGGGATGGCCTGTGGGCTGATCACACTAAATTCACAACACTCTGATTGGCAACCCAGGAGGCCTTTTATTAATACTACTCATTAACCTTTATTAAGAAAAAGATAGTTAGTTCTGATGGCTGGTGTGTTCTTTCTCCAGAAGGCACGTCAACCTGAGAAATGAATGCAATGTGCAAGGCTGATTGGTCAGGAAAGAAGACAAAAGTAATTTGTGGTGTGATCCTGAGGGTTCAGAAACTGAGCTGTGGCATCCACGGGCACTCTAACAGCTTCGAGACTGGGGGAGTCATCTCCCTCAGGAGCCCCAAGCTTTCACATTGTGCCATCCTCCTGCACGGTTGCAGCAATATGCTGGATAACCCCATCTTTCCCCGGTGCTGATCACGACACCTTTCTGCCCTGTCCACGTCCATCTCTGCCCCTCTGCCACCCACTGCCAACCCTCAACTGTTTGCACCTGTGGATGCTCCCTGGAATCTTAGTCAAGGAGCCACTGGGAATCCACTGGGCATCCACTGAGTTAATGAGCCATTTGAATGCCAGTGACCTGATCTTGCAAGACTTGCTACAGTTTCCAAACTGACTTTGACCTGGTGTAATCAGAGCTCGTACAAAATGGGGAGCCCTTTCTCCTTCCCTTCTGAAGGCCTGCGCCAGGAACCATTCAGAAGGAGCCCTGATCGTTGACCCCTGTTCTCCAAAGAAAAGCGTGCAGAGCCTGCCACCTTGTGGCTGCCTGTGGTTCTACAGCATCCCTAACCAGACAGCACAGATGCTCCTCCCCCCGCCCCCCTCCCCTCCACTAGCCAGGGGAGTCTCTGGGATGCAGGGAAATAGGCATGAGGGTGGGGGGATTCCCAGGCTCTGATTTCCTTTCCTGTTTGTTTGACCCACAGTCTCGAACCTGTGGAGGCAGGCCCAGGGAAAGAGGCCCTGCAGCTGGGTGAGATGGGAGAGGGCAGAAGGCTGGAGCGGGGGAAGGGGCTGTATTCATAGGTGGGGCAGCAGGTTGTTGGGCCTATGGAATGCCTCAGACTGATGGTGCAGGCTAGGCAAAGCCGGCGCGCCGTCTAACCCTAGCCCACCTCTCAGCCTGAGTGTCTCCATCTGTAAAGGAGGGTTCCGACCAGGTGACCTTTCAGGTCTCTTCCAGCCCTGATATGGTGCCTAGGTAGGACCATCCCAAAGCAAGGAAGAGAACCCCAGCCTGTCACTGGCATCCTGGGATAGCGTTGGCCTCTTCACCTCCCAAGGGGCACTGTTGGGTTCTGCTGTTTGCAACCAGGAATCCAAGGCAAGGCACACACATCGGGCAGCTTAGTTAAATGGGCAAAAATGCACCTGCCTGAGCTGTTGGGTCTGACTTGTCACTTGGGAGCAGGGGCTGGTCAGTCGGTGTGGCCAGAGGTGAGCCATGCATTTCCAGCCGAGTCCGGTTGATAAAGTATCGTGGCTGAGAGCACGGATCTGACCCCTCACAGAGTCATGGATCAGATTCAGATTCTGCCCTTAGCCAGCTGGTAATATTTAGAATTTCTTTAACCTCCCTAAGCCCCCATTGTCTCACCTGTGTAATGAGGATAATGAAGCTATTGACAGGAAATGGCATGATGTTTGCAGAGCACTTTCCAGGACCTGGTGAGTAGACGGTGTCCATAAAGGCCAGCTATTCTGCTGCAACCGTGAACTGTTCTTTCAAGTTAAGGGAAGAATGACCCCAAAGGCAATTGAGAGATCATCCCGGCTGCCTCCTCCATTTCAAAAGGTGGGGGGGGGGCATTGTCTTGCTTTCAACAGACCAGACAGCCTCTACCCAGAGCTGTGGGGCAGGGCCTCCCTGCAGAACCATGAGGGCACAACCCCTGCCCTGCAGAGCCCAGCAGGCCCTTTACTCAGTGGATCCAGAAGATGGGACCATCACCCCAGTGAGTCCAGAGGGCAAGAACATTGGACCAGAGAGGATTATTTTCAAGCTTTAAGATCTCATGGAGTTTGCACTGCTAGGTTTCGGACCTGCTTGGGACCCATCACCCCTTCCTTCTTTCCTCTTTCTCCCTTGTGGAATGGGAATGTCTAGCCTACACCTGTGCACCATTGTATTTTGGAAGCACATAACTTGTCTGGTTTCCCAGGCTCACAGCTGGTGAGGAATTCCATCTCAGGGTGATTCGACTTCCAGTCTCACCCATATCTGATTTAGACAGGACTTTGGACTTTAGAGTTGATGCTGGGACAAGTTAAGGCTTTGGGGGCTGGTAAGATGGAAGGAATGTATTTGGCACGTGAGAAGGACATGAATTTGACGGTGGTGTGGGAGGGGGCAGGGTAGAATGTGATGGACTTAATGTGTCCTCTAAAAATTCATTTGTTGAAACCTAATGCCAGATGTGATGGTATTTGGAGGTAGGTCTTTAAGTCACGAGGGTGGAGCCCTCATGAAGGGGATTAGCACCTTCGTAAGAAAAGGCAGAGAGCTAGCCCTCTTCCCAGCCTGTGAGAACACAGGAAGAATTTGGCAGTCGGCTGGAAGAGGACCGGAGTGAGAACACGACCATGATGTACCCTGGTCTCCAACGCCCAGCCTCTAGAACTGTGAGAAGCAAATTCCTGTTGTGTGAGCCACCGGTCTAGGGCATTCTGTGATAGCAGCCTGAGCTGACCACGACACCATCCACGACACAGGATTCCTGGCTCCTCTTGTAGTCAGCTCAGGCTGCCATAACTAGACGAGCTGGCTTAGACATTAGGAGTTTATTTATTTCTCACAGTTCTGGAGGCTGGAATTCCCAGATCAAGGTCCAACGAAATCAGTTGCTGGCAAGGACCCTCTTCTTGGCTTGCAGATGGCAGGTTCTCCCTGTGTCCTCACATGGTAGCGAGCTCTGATCTCTCTTCCTCTTCTTGTAAGGGCACCAATCCCCTCATGGGGGCCTCACCCCCATGACCTCATCAAAACCTGATTACTTCCCAAAGGCTTCCCCTCCAAATACATCACACTGGGGGGCAGGGCTTCCACACATGAATCTGGGGGGACACACACATTCAATCTGTACAGCTCCTAAATATAAACCTAAATTTCTTTCCTGTAAATCTTCTCCCATTCCTTTTCCTTTTTTCATTGTTCTTTTGCAGCGAAGTGAACGCCAGGAAAATCTTGCCCTCGCCGTACCCCACCCCACAGAGCCGGGAGCACAGCAGCACCAGCGGCCGCCTGGAAGACAGGTCTGTCTTCTCCCTCTGATGCCTGTGGCTGCCCTTGCCATGGTGGCGTGGGCCAACATTGCCGGCGCTCCTGTCCCACATCCTGTGAGCCCCTTGTCTGGTAGCTGCGCAGAGCTCAGGGCTAGCCTCCCACCCCCTACCGGTGCCCTAGGAATACCCTGGCGTCTCTCACAGATGCCGAGTCCCAAAGCTGGGAGGTTCTCTCCCAGGGCCCCATGCAGGCAGACTTGCTTCAAGTCTCCTTATAAATAGATGTACCCAGGGCCATTAAAGGAAAGAAGAGCTGGCCCATGGGCCATTCCAACACGGCCCACTAGTCCCACCACAGGGTCCCCAGGCAGAGAAGGATAGAGGGTTAACAAGCCTAGCCTCAGGCCCTGTGCACCATTCACTGCAGACCGAACAAAGCTGACAAGGCCTCTCCCCGGCAGTGCTCTTTATGCCCCCTGACTAGAACGCTTGAGCACCTTTCTTCACCTACACGCCTCCCAAGCTGTCCGAAGGTGAGGTCCAGCCATGCCCCTCCCGGAGCCCAGACAGAAGGAACAGCTCCGTGCTGCCCCGTGGGAGCACTTCTCCTCGATTGCGGCTGGATGCCCACACAAACCATTACTTGTGATCATGAGCAGCCCTTTATTATGTCCTGTCCTCACTGCCTTCTAAGACAGTGGATACTGTCACCTGCTGTGTGGAATGACAGGATGAGGGGGGTGCTTGGCAAGCCAGGAGGGCACTGCTTTGAATTTTCTTTAGGGGTGATTTATTGGTGGAAAAAGAGGAGGGAGAAAGGCACATGTGCATTCTTCCTTTTTTAAGGGGATTTCTTGGAAATCCCACACTTCTTACAAATCTCATTGGCTGGAACCTGGTCACCTGACTGCACATAGCTGCAAAGGAGGCTTGGAAATGTAGTATTTTTTTTTTCCCAGCCATGGTAACATATTCAGCTAAATATCATGTTTTTATAAAGAGAGGAGAGAACAGTTATCTGCCCGAGGAGCAACTAAGCCATGGTAGGGTATGGGGACGCACAGGGGAGATGTCCTACAGGATATGCCGTCTAAGTTGGGTGCTGAAGGAGACAGTCAAGCCCCAGGTGGAATAGACTTGGTGGGGGCGGGAGTTGGGAGGGATGGGGAAGGTGCTGAGACAAGGCATAATCAACCATGCAAAGGTCTTGGAGGAGAGCAGTCCAGGAAAAGGAGACAGCTAAAGCAAAGGTCCTGAGGCCAGAAGGAACTCATGTTATTGAGTAACAGAATAACAGAAAGAAGGGCAGGGTGGCTGGAGCATGGTACACCAGGGGCCAGATCACACAAGATGAGAGTTTGAGTTTCATTCCAAGAGTGATGCAAGAAGCCACTAATGGGCTTAAGGTTTAGGGTTAAGGTTAGGGGTTAAGGTAGGGTTAGGGTTAGGGGTAAGAGAGGACATGACATGTTTGCAGGTGAAAGGATTTCTGTGGCTTCTGCCCAGATACGGTGGAGGGGCTGTGGTCCCACAGCCTCCTGGTGAGATTCATTCTCTGAACACGGAAAGCGCTTTGGAAAGGTAAGCATGGAGTCCAAATGTAAGGTGCAGTGATGTGTGACTTGTGGTTGTCCTCAGCATCCCTAAGAGGCCAGCATCATCTGTCCCTCTCACCGGGGACAGCCAGACAGACTCGGACATCCTGGCATTCATCAAGGCCAGACAGAACATTCTGCAGAAGAAATGTAAGTGCACCTTCCTCCAGGGCTCTGCTCACCAACCTTTGGGTAAGGGAGGGGGAAGGCCAGAGTGAGCTGAGAAGGAAGTCGGAAACTTCCTGCATATTCCCAAAACCACAGGACTGACCCTGTGGTCACCTCACATGTGCCTAGCATCTGCTTCCTCCAGGAAAAAGCTCTAAGAGACTGCATTGCAAACACCAAGACAGGCTCAAAGGGGTGCGGGCCCAGGTGTTCCCGCCCTGCTTGGCAAAGCTTCCCTCCCTCTCCCAGATCTTCGGCTCCTTGTGTTCTCTGTCCCCAAAGCCAGATCACCTCTGTTCAGCCTTTCCCATACAAGAAGGGGCTGAGTGATGATTTGGTGGCGTGAGTCCCTGGCTAGAATTATCACTCTCCCGTTGGAGCCTGGTTCTTACCAATGAGCTGTAGACATAATCACCATCTGAAGGTTCAGGCCTGAGAACACCATTAACAGTTGAAGAAGAAATACTTGTGGTGTGTCAGACAACAGGAAGAGAACGAAAAGGCCCTTCCTGGCCTTGTCACCCGCTTCCCCCATCTTCCTCTTGGCAGCTGGCGCCTGGCTGTGGACAGGCCTTCTCTTCTCCTGCCTCCCCTCTCCCCAGAGACCCCCAGGGATGAGGCCCAGGACCCCTGAGCCCAGCCGTACTTTTAACCTCATCCCAGTAAGCCAAAGACTAGCAGACAACCGAGCATTGCTTCCCTGTGATGGATGAAATGGCAGACTTGGATCCTATCAGGAGTGACACCTGCCCCGGGAGGCCCACATTCAGTTTCATGGCCAGCTCTCTGCAGTTCAGACACTAGGAGGTTCGCACATGGCTGGAGCGTCCCAGGCAAAGGCCGGCCTTGCCACGGCATGTGCACTGACAGCAAGCAGGCACGCTTGCCGAGATGCCAGCCAGCCCACTGTTCTCTCTCGGGGATCAGCACCACTGCGGGGTCTCTCTGAGACCTGAAATAGGCTGGCTGTGCCACCAGCCTATGGTGACACCACAGCTCACCTTCTCTCCTCCATTTCCTTGTTGAAAAAAGAAAGGACACCAACAAATAGGGAAGATCATTTGAGGTGCTGAGCTAGAGAGCAGGAGCCAGCTCAGCAGGCCTTGTGGGCGAGGGTAAGGGGCTTGGCTTCTATTCCAGGCGTAGTGAAAGCTCCCTGAAGAATTTAAGCCATGGCGTGATGTGGTCTGACTGGGGCTTTGGCAAGCTCACTCCGGCCCCTGTACACAGCCAAGGCTGCAGGGACCCAGGAATAGCAGTTATGCGGCTCCTGGGGAGGCCCAGGCAAGGGGTGAGGGTAGCCTGGCCCCAGCAGCAGGTTGGACATGAGTCGTGAGGGAAAGGAGAGCCAGGAGGGCTGGTGGGCACCCGCTCTAGCAGCTAACCAGGTGGGGATGCCGTCGGCAGAAAGGCAGGGAGGCGTGGACACCAGAGGGAAGTTACTGGGGGAATTCAGAGTTCCCCCAGTCCAGTTGGCCCATCCGAATTTCCAGAAGCCCCCTGAGACCCCAGAGGAGAAGCAGGCCCCTGAACAGGTCTGGGTGGACTACAGCGCCATGCCCTGAGTGAAATCCCTGTCGAAGAGAGCAAACAGGGTTATTCTAGTCGCTGACACAGACCACTGGGGCACTCTGACGTTTGGAGGTGAGCGTGAAGATCCAACCAAAGCTACAGAGAAGGTTCGGCCAGGGCGAGAGAAGGGCCAGCAGGGGAACAAGCGTGGCCTCAGGCAGGCCTGCAGGAGGACATGGTCCAGCGGAGAAGGGCCGCTAGAGCCCAGGGCTGCTGGAGGCTGAGGAAGCACTAATGGGACACTGCCCACTGGCCACTCACCTGTCATGGTGGGCTGGACAAGTGCCCTGTAGGTGGGGGGCAGGGGAGTGGGGGGCCGGGAGGACGAAACGCCCATTGCAGTAGTTGAGGAAAGAAAAGAAGGAGCGAGAGCAGAGATGGGGAGTGGGGCCAGCTGTCCCAGGGGCTAAGCCGGGAGTAGGCTGGGGCTAAGAAGAAGCAGGGGTTACACAGACGTGTTCTCATGCTGAAAGGAACGGTCCAGTAGAAGAACGGAGGTGGATGATGTGGGAAGGAGGACCAAACCTGCAGGGGAAACTCTTCAGGGAAGTAGAGGGCGTGGCATCCGGGACTTAAGTGGAGGGAGCAGTTGGCATTTGGAGCTGGGAGACTCCCCTCCCCTGGAACAAATGCACAGAAATCAAACATCATTCATCCCCTCAAGATATCCACATAAGCAACATTTTTAAGTTATGTTTACTGAGCTTTTGCCCGCATAATAAAGACGCTACTTCCAACCCTCTCAGAGAAGAAGAGGCATAAACCCAAGGTCTATGTCAGGATGACGTCTTCTGCTAACACAGTGCCCAGGTGGTACAGAAAGCTGTGCTGAAAGGCGGGCACCCTTAGTGTACAGAGCCTACAGTCTGATCCCCCTTTTGACAGGTGGGGAAACTGAGGCACGCAACAGTAGAATGGCAGAGCCAGGATAACCCAGCTTTTCTGCACTCTCTCCACGTGGCCACACTGTCTTGAAAAGCCACTCTGTGGTCGGTCGGCGTTTGTCTCTTGGCCTCCACCCCCCCTGCAGCTGGGGAGCTTTGTTCTCCAAACAAATAGCCTGGAAGTAATTCATCAAAACAAAAGTTCAAGGGTTCAATTTTTATTCTTAAGGGGGAAAAAAAGTAATCTTGGGTTCTTAGTGACCATGAGGCTGCAAAGGAAGCTGAAGAAGCGTGACAGGGGGTCCCGTTCCGCCAGGTCAGGGCCAAAGGGCCAGCAGGTGCGGCCTCCCCAACGGGCAGCAGATGGCCAGGTCCCACCACGCAGCACTTTCTACGCAGCCCCCTTATCAGGCCTCCGCGTCAGGCAAACATGCAGGCTGGGCCCCAGGCACCTTCCCCAGCCAAAGCAAACACTTCTCTCCCCTGCCCTGGGCTCCCTCCGCTCTTAATTTAGTGGCGCTGTCTGTCTGGGCTTCTTCAGGAGGGCTCATTATGGGGAATTTGTGACTATCAGCCTGGGAGCAGGAACCCAGAGAGGGTGATTTCACAGACGCCTCGCCCGCCGGCTCTTGCACTTCACCAAGGGCCAGGATGAATCTAGTTGATTTAGGATTCATGGAAAAGCTGTGGAACGTTTAAATCCCTGCCAGGGGCACGTGTGGACAGGTATATATCCCCCGTACGGCGTGTTTGTCATCCATGGTGTCAAATCTGCTGGTTCTAACTGCCAAGGATGGCTTTAAAATCTGAGAAAATGAGGTTAACCCCTTTCTAGAGTGCTTTTTAAAAAAAAATCTTCCTAATCCCTGAGTTTGGAACTTTTTGCCTGCAGACAGGAACCTCGGTGTGACCCCCATGACCACCACGCCCTCTTCTCTGGCTGGTGCCAGGAAGAGGCTCTGCCAAGTGCCTCAGAGCCCCCTACCACCCCAAACTCCTCCATCTGCACCCTGAGAAACCCTCCAGCTCTCCTTTGTGCAGGATCCATCCCAGTGAAATGGAAAGAACCTAGAACTGGGAGGGAGGAGGCCCAAACCCAGGGCTCCTTTACCCTCGGCCCTATGTGACCTTGGGCAGCTCACCTCACACATCTGTCAAGTTCAGATTTCGCCCCCCTCGGGGTGGCCAACCCCTCCTGTGATAACATCCACAGAAGTCCCCTCTAAGCAGCCAGGCACCAGGGAGCCGTTATTGGGGGAACTGGCCTCGGTGGTGAGAGCTCACCCAACACAGTGAGGAGTGATTTCCTCTCCATGATTGCTCTGCAGCAATACCCCCCAGTCTGGGAACCTACAGTCACAAAATCCCCGTACAGAATGACGGCTCCGCCACCACGTCACTGGGGCTCAGCGGGTCCAGAAATGGCCCCTTTTATCTGGGGTTGAGGTCTGTGTCTATGGGGCCCTCTGGCTCCTATTATGATAGCCAGACTTTAAGCAAATTAACTGCTTGTCACTCACACCACTTCTTCTCACACATTAATGTGCCAAGAAATGTAGGGGTTTTGTTAAAACGTAGATTCTGGTCCAGGAAGTCTGGGTTGGGGGCCAAGATTCTGCACTTCTTAACAAGCTTCCCGGGAATGCCAGGGCTGCTGACTCACACTTTGAGAAGCAAGGAGCCATGCTAGTTACCTTTCTTCTTCCGGGTACCTCATCTGCTCCATGGATCTGGTTGTTTGGAAGGAGGCCCAGAGAACGAACATGATTTGCCCAGACACACCACAGGTTGGGGACTGTCCTGGCTAGAACTCAGGGGCCCTGGTTCTTAGTCCAGAGAACCCTTCTCCGGGTCCAGCCATGGGGCCAGAAAGAGCCATCCTGGGGGGACATTCATTGTTCAGTCGTTAAGCGTCTGCCTTCGGCTCAGGTCCTGATCCCAGGGTCCTGGGATCAAGACCCGCATCGGGCTCCCTGCTTGGCAGGAAGCCTGCTTCTCCCTCTCCCACTCCCCCTGCATGTGTCCTGCAGAGCTGGGGGAATAAAGGCAGCCCCTGGGAGTCGGGGCCCTGGGAGGCACACCACCCCAGAGCCGAGGGGAGTGGCTTGCAGCGTCCTCCCTGTGCACCGCGCCCTTCCATCCGGGCAGAAATTGGTGCCCCCCATGCACAGCCTAACCAAGAACATCCCATCTCCTTTCAGGTTTCCAGTAGGTGTCCAGCCATACATCGTGGCCGAAGGAACAGAGTACGGATGAAGGAAGGCACCTTTTCTCACTCACCCTGGCTTCGGATGTGATCTGCGGTCTGCTGAGAGCAACTAGTGATTTTAGTTCCAATAGAAGGGGCTGTATTTCCTTAAGGATGGTGTCCTGAAGGCTGCCGGTGAGGCTGGGGCTAGGGCTTAGGGTGCCATCCTTGCTGCAGGTGCTGGAGACAATGCCAGGGCGCCAGGGGTGGGACAGCGGCTTCTGCTCATTTTTGTGGTGCTGCTTCCCATGGTCGATTACAAACCCGGGGATATTATGAAACAGTACCATCAGAATGTAGTGGCAGGGGAAGCTCGTACTGGTAGAATATAGGAGAAGCGATAACTCATTATTTTTAGCTAACTACGAGCCAGGCGTAGGAGCCCAGGAATAGCTGGGGCAAGCTAGGCAGGACAGGGTGTCAGAGCCCAAGATAAAGCAGCTGAATACAAAGCATCTTGATAGCCAGTCCTGATCTCCCAAACCAAACCTTCCACCATCACCCTCACAGCCCGGATGACCCATAGACAGCACCTGAATCAGCCGTATTTCCAGGGAGCCACCCACCCAGCAGGGTCCAAGGACATCGCTGCACCCTGAGAGCAGGAGATGGCTCCTGGGAGCCCTGCAGAGAGCTTGAGAGGGGGCGGTATGGGCAGCTGGGGCCTCACACCCTCACCGATCCACTTGGGCAAGAACTGGGGCTAAAACTTTCCACTCCCACCAAGGAAACAGAGCTGCTGGGGGCTTCCCTCCGTGAGCCTTTTCAGCACTGCAGAGCCTGGCTGCAAGGATAGAGACCCAGAGGAGGGTGGGCCAGCCCTCAGGAGGCCCTCAGAGGACTGCCACCTGGCCTGCGTAAGGGCAGTGTCAGCAAGTTCCCAAGCCAGCTGTAGGTCGGGAGGGGTGTGGAGT